ATTTAAATACTGATTATATTAAATCTAAATATTAATATTTGATAAATGAATTTTTAAATTTTAAATTAAAATTTTAATTTTTAAATATATATTAAAATTCTAATTTTTATTAAAAGTGAAAATTAATACACACTAACCTCTTAACTTATAAGATAAAACTTATTTAGCAATATATGTGAAGTCAAGTAATCCAACCCTAATTAAGTAATCTTTAGTAATTAGTACTCAAAAAACAACGCCGTATCCATTCGCCTGTAAGTAGGACTATAATTTTCGTCTAAGGCTAAAAGTCCGTTTAGACAGCTAAAACCAAAATGGATGGAAAAGCCCAGGCTCCGACTGGACTTAGATATTAAGGCCCATAGTGAAGTTGCAGAACCAAAGGTTGGAGTTGGAGAGGTCAGATCCTGGTCGGTCTTCTTTACGTTGGACCAAACCCTGTGCTAATGATTCCTTGGCCCATTAGTTGATCTACATTTAAATTTATTTATTTACTTATTTATTTTTAATTTTAAGAAGCATAATAAGAGATATTATCACTTCATTTATATATCATACAATTTAAATTTAGAATTTTTATTTTTATTAAAAAGAGATAATTATTAAATTATTGACAAATTTATGTATTTTAATTCTTTACGTTTTTGTCATTTTGTGATAATTCATAAATTCAATGCAATTTGTACCATAATCGGAGATTAAAATAGAGAAATAATAAAATTATACATATTTTTTTAAAATTTTAGATTGTATAATAAAAAATAACTCTTATCTTTCCTTAACCGACCCACTCTTATGTTATATAATTCAAATTCAACATTTCTTATTTTTAGTAAAAAGAAATTATCATTGACCTATTTAGATTGTTAACAATAAAATTATAATGTTAAGTAATATTATAAATTTATAATTATAATATATTATTATTTATTATAAAAATAATTTTTTATTCAAAAATTTACTCATAATATTATAATTAATGAGTATTTCATTATCAATTAAAAAATTCAATCTGATCTTACAAAATTTTATTTGAAAGTTGTAATTTGGTATATCTCCATTTGACTATGAATCTGATTGACTACACTCAAATGCATTAGAGTAACACAATTTAACTATTTTTATTAATTTATATCAATAATTTTTTAAAGTAATTAGTTGTAATATTTAAAAATATTTATTTATAAATTAATTTTAATTTATTAAATAATATAATAAATATTAACTATATTATTAATTATCAATTATATTTAATAATTAAATTAAAATATAAATTTAACTATCTATAAGATTATGATAAATTTAAGTGCGCCATGACCACAGCCCACAGCCACCTCCATCCTCTTTTTTTTTGGTAAATCACCTCCTTCCATTATTCTGTTTTCTTTCCACTGAATCGGGAAGGGATGCAAGGGAAAACAAAAAATCTATGATACGTGGCATTGCTTTTCAAATAAAATCTACAGTAAAATGCCGTTCATGGTCACATCACACAAAATGTCTTCCATCCCATTGACATCCACACAGTATTAGTTAATACTAACAACATGAAAATAATGGAAGAAAAGTCAATACGGTGCAATCTTGAACAATCTTTCTCTCTTTTTCTCTCCTTCTTTTTTTTTTTTTTATGCAATGATTTCTTATTTTGTAATTTAAATTTTATTAAATTAAAAAATATTTTTAATTCTAAAGAGACAAGATTTTATTTAACTAAAAACTGTCTTACAATCCATCTTGTAACAAACTGTAAGATCAAGATCATCAAAGGATGTGAGCTATTAATATTGAGTCCACCTCCCCTCTTTTTTTATGACCCTAATCTTGCATTCCGCTTCAGGATTGACTGTAAGAT